CAGTTCCCAATGTTAGTAAGGACATCAGATGTCGGGAGTTCTGCGTCCTCCTCAGGAAGGTGACATCACCGCACAATGCACAGCACACCTACCTGCACTGCACCTTTGTCCCCGGCGCTGGCCGTCCTGTGTCTGGTGATGTGATTGGTAGTCCGTGGTCCCATCGCACTCCTGACCGCGTGAATCCCTTCAAGAATTGGGTGCTGCGGTAGTCAGCGGGTGGCGGCCGTATAAATCATGAGCGGACGCAGAGACACCGGCGCTCCAAATTTGCATTGTGGTAAAAAATAACGCACGTTTCGGGGTCACACAGTGTACGTGCTGATATATAGCCCCACCCCTAATCAGAGCGGCCAATCATCAGCCTCCACATTGACCCCATGACGTCATGTTCCCGCCTGATTATAGGACACAATACATGTATATACCCCGGGCATCAATCTCCCACACATGACAGGTCGCCGGCCGACCATCTAACACACCGAGCTGAGTCCGTAGACATGAAGTCTCATTCAGAGGAACATATTGCGTGTTTGGATGGTAAGTCTGCGACCTCGGCGCTCCATGCGTTGTTATGATTAGCGTTACGGCGCGCTCGGATTTAACATTTCTTGATACTAGCACGTTGTGTCATGCGTCATGTGTCATGCGTCACCATCGAGGATAGAATGTGGAGCCGTGGGCCACATCAGAGCCAACCGGGTATTCGCAGGAGCAATCTAGAGCCGCAGCTCACCATTATTTTCAAAATCGATTAGTTAGCCGATTATTGAGTTCGATTAATCGGATAACCAATAAAATACATTTTATAAAATGTCTCCAGTGATGGGACTAGTAGTTTGTACTGAGATTGCCGTCCATCACGGGAGCAAGCCGGGAGCGGGGGAAGTGCGGTGTGCAATATAGTGAAAAGGAAAGTGTAAAATTATACAGCAATCAATGCAGAATGGCGCCAGCTATAGAGGACTACAAATCCCAGCAATACATTATAGAGTACCATGTGGGGGGAGGGGGAGGGGGGACTTACCTGAGCAGTCTTCCAGCAACTTGTTTCTGAGATCGGACCTACATGTGACGAGGAGATATACCGGAGACATTCCGCATTCCCTGGCAGGACCAAGGCCTAATGATGGTCCTGATTGGTCAGGAAGAACCCTTTGTGATATTAATAAGGAAACAGCCGCCGCGGTATGAGAGAGATCACAGACACGGGATACCAGACGGGCCAATCATCGCTATTCTGATGTCACTCCGGTGCTTCTGGAACCCGATGTGGAGGCTGATGATTGGCCGCTCTGATTAGGGGTGGGGCTATATATCTGCACGCACACTGTATGAAGGGGATCCTTTGTGACCCCGAAACGTCCGTTGTTTTTTACCACGATGCAAATTTGGAGCGCCGGTGTCTCTGCTTCAGCTGGTGATTTGATTGGTCGCCTCATCTCAGTTTCTGGGAAGATTCACCAATACGGCGCCAGATCTGACCGAATAGTAATGGCGTCCAATCCTGAGGCGGGAATCTGTCAGAGAATTCCTGGACGGGGGC